GACATGTTGCTGCTTGAAGCAGAGGACAAGGTCCCACACAAACACACACACCATGTAAAAAACCAAACTGGACTGGCAGCTGAAAAGAAAGACCAAATGGATTATTCCTCTCTGCACTGTCCAAAAAGAGTAGCTGTTTCTCTTTTTCTTCTTCTTCCAAGCTCCCAAATATAAGCACTCTAAGAAGTCACTTTCAAACAAATGTATTACAAATATACATCATGTATATTTCACAGGTTATGTGTGTTTGTTCTGTCATTCCCCGTGTGTATAATTTCATTAAATCTATCAGTGTGACTGGTTAAATTTGGCCCGTTCCAACCTGAGCACTTATTGGTTTGTTTTAAAGAGATCTTGTTCTCCATCCATAAAAAAATCACTTGAAGCAATCTTATTTAGCCGTCTAATAAATGCCAAAGAGAGCTTTTGGCTCAAGACTGAATGCTGGGTGTTGATCTGAAACGCTGGTTAATGGGATTGTACATAAGTCATGTTTTAACCATAGAGGAGGTTCTTGTTTGCTCTGAAAGCCACAAACCCCAAAAGGAAATGTAGGAGAGTAGTGGGAGGACAGTGACAAGAAACCTCATGACCTCATCCCTTCCGCCTTGTGAGGATTGGCTGGACAATGTCTGGACTAGAGTTTAAATTCCAGAGTCTGCAGATGGAAATCAGCAGAAGAGAAGAAGGGCGACTAAGCAGCACCTTCTGAAGTCATCCATAGCCATTGCCTTGAGCTTCACCGAACCAGTTAGCATCAGACCTCTGCGCCTGAGGATCCAAGCTTTAACATAAGGTACCTATGCTCTTTTTATTTCTTATCTGTTAACTTCAGGCTATGTCATATTTTCATCAAGCTGAATGCAGTGCAGCTATACTTGGGGGAGGTTTTAAATATGTAAATCCCTACCGCCTCAGAGCATCCTGGCAGAGAAAAGGGGACAGTGTGCACATTATTATATTTGATTTCCAGCACCACTTTGGGGAGAATATTTAGGGAGGAAGCGGTTTACAAGAGGGAGTTATAAAGTGCCAACTAAAAATAGAGATTTGATCTTCCTTATTTTTACCACTAATGAGTTTGAATGACACACATTTTTGGCACAACAGCCAGTTTATATTCTGCCAGTAATAAATTTCTGAGATTTGTAGTCTAAGAGTTTTTGCTTAGAAAAAGCCAGCATTGACTAGTGGTTAATATACTGGACAAGTAAATTTTAGGTTACTGGGCAGAACTCAAATCTTCACTCACTGGGTGATTTTCAGCCAGTCATTTCTAAGCCTAACCTACCTCACAAGGCTGCTGTGGGAAAAGCCTAGACATGTGAAGTATGCTGTCCCCAGCTCCTTGAGGGAAGGGAAAGCTAAAAACAATGGAAATAAATGTACCAGAAAATGATATTCTGTGCTATGGAAACAAATGTCGCCAACTGTTTTACTCTCAGGGCTCCTGTGCTTTTGAGAACTGGATATTCAATGGGTGAATATTCATCCCCTCATATAGCTGTAAAGACAAGAGAAATAAATGGCAACCATAGTGGCGGTTCTTTTCCACAGTCTCAGATATGCAGATGCATGCTGAAATTACTCAGTAGTAGGGGAAAGTCATTCTGTATATGCTCCAGGGCACTCAGTTGCTACTTTATGTGTTTTGTGAGCAGAACTTCCATAGAACCATGCTTAAGAAAGCCCTGTGGGTTCCAAAGAGGATGTTCGATACCATTTTTCTGTGCCATCATTTTGTATAAAATGCCTTCTAAAATCAACCATGTGCTCTTGGCTAAAAGCAGTCCTGTTGCCCTTGCATTTAACAACTGCAAAAGCAAAGACACCCTCCACCCCACCCAGCCCTCACCAAATGCTTTTAGGCAAATGCATTTTGGTGCAATGTTTTCGTATCGATTTTCTCTCTTAGCACAAGTGCTCATTAACCTTGTAAGCAGAAGGGCAATGCACAGTGAGGTGTGCCAACTTCCCCATCAGCCTGGCTTTCCATCATGATTCATCAGTCTGTGATGTCCCCTGATTCATCACATTTTCCCTCATTGTCAGGACTGAGCAATATAATCCCGCCTGACTTGGAAATTCTAACTTGTTCTCCCCAAATGCCTTAGAACTAGAGATGAGCTGGTTACAAATCCTGTCCCAACTCCTTCAATTTTAATTGCATTTCTGTTCACGTTAGCCTTTTGGTAGAGTCAGACAGAAAATAAATCCATGGGTTGCTCATTAATTTGGGGAAGGGCTTATGGAAGTTGACTTTTTCTTTAGCTAGAATTTCCACAAAGTTTTGCAAGATTTGCCCTTTGGCTATTTTTATAAACTAGGATTTTCCTCTAGGGCTTTTAGTCCTCTGAAAATACCATGATGCTGCAAAATTCTGCATTCATCTCTATACACTTACATTCAATAGATTCTATTAGCTTTTTTATGTATATGAGACAGAGTTTTTAAAGAAAGAGACTTAAAAGAAAGAGTCTTAAAACACAAACATCCTTCAATTCATTTTGTATCTTGACTGTCTATAGTCTTTAAATTTCACACAGCCAGGTGGAATAATTTTCTTTCGTTTTTTAAAATGATAGTAAATTTAGATGCCTACTCAGCCATGAAAACCCACTGAGTGACCTTCGGTAAGTCACAGTCTCTCAGCCTCAGAGGATGGCAATGGCAAACCCCCTCTGAAGAAACCTGCCAGGAAAACCCTATGATAGGGTTGCCATAAGTCGGAAATGACTAGAAGGCAAAACAATGCGCACACACACAAATATTTAGATCTACAGAATTAGATGGCATGGAGAGCCTATAGATTTCATCCCACTACTGACACCATTCATTCTTTAGCCCTACACAATCCAAACCATAGTGTGCCACAGTCACAAGTAATGTTAAAAGATGTTTGCAAAGCCAGTAATTCCTTATGCCTTCAGCATTTGCTTGCCCTGTTCTGTGCCAAATCTGCATCACCATCCAGAGGTAGAGGACGATTTTTTTTCCTCCTCCTTATTCTTATCATTGTTCACTTGCAGTGTCAAAGTCAAGGAGCTCTGGAAGTTGGGAGAACTCCCCCCACTCCTCACAGGGGCATTCCCCTGAAAAGATCTAGGGGATGACACTTGATACCAATCCCGTCTGCACTACTGGAAAGTCACTGAATGCTCATTTTTCCACTGCAGTCATGTGCTGTGCTAGGTCATGTCAAGGACATGTTATCTGCAAAGATCATGTGTTCAATTCTTTCATCTCTAAATCCAAGCAAATTGCTGACTTGTGGACGGACTCAATCTAGCTCTCCTTTGTCAGCTGCTGAATAAGTGACATACCATCCTCTCTTGCTCAGATTAGCTTTTTCAAGTTCTAAGACACAAAAACAATGGTAACTAACCTGCATTCCATGTGGCATTTTTCTTCCATCTAGAGGGGAAAACACCAGAAAGCAAATAATTCTAATTCAAAAAAAATATTATTCAGAAAACACTTACAGGCAAGATTGTGGTCTTGCTTGAACATCCTTCTGGTGAATTTTGCTTTTAAAATAAGCAAATAGTTGGATCATCATTAGAAACTTCAGCAAAGAATCAGATATCTGATCCAAAGGTCGAAAAAGAGTGTGTGGTGGAGTCTCTTCTGGACTATATTGCTTTAGCCATGGTGTAATGGTTTGGAGGTTGGACGAGGATACTGGGAGACCAGGGTTCAAATGCCAGCTGGGCCATGGAAACCCACTGGGTGACCTTGGGCAAGTCACACTCTCTCAGCATCAGAAGGATGGCAATGGCAAACACCCTCTGAAGAAATTTGCCAAGAAAACCCTATGATAGGTTTGCCTCAGGGTTACCATTAGTTGTTGAAGGCACATAGCAACAACAAACTGATATTGCATGTTCTAAGTCAGGGGTAGGCAACCTTTCCCCTTTAAGGGCCGAGGGACTTCAGCTCCCAGAAGCCTCAGCCACATTGGCTAATAGTCCCATGTTGGCCAATAGCTCCTGGGATTCTGGGAGCTGAAGTCCCTCGGCCCTTAAAGGGGAAAGGTTGCCTACCCCTGTTCTAAGTGATTACATAGGAGACACTAGAATATTAGAGAGAAAGGATTTTTTAAATTTCATCCTGCAGAAGTTAAAAAGAGATATAGGATGCATTCAAACATGAAATCTCCATTCATAAAATGATTAGCCAAGAAGTATCTCCTATATGTGTTTGTATGTGCCTTCAAGTCACCTGTCAATTTCATTGGGTTTTCTAAGGCAAGGAATAAGAGGTGATTTTGTCAGTTCCTTCTTCTGAAATACAGCACTAGTATTTGTTGTCAGTCTCCCATCCATAACAAGGGTTAACCCTACTTAGCTTCCAAGATCAGGCAGGATCTAGTGCTTTTAGGGTAGTTAGGCCTAAGTATTTCTGAATATTTTCATTGGCCCTAAAACAAGAAAATATGAAATCTGTTTTGTTTTTGAACAGCTGTCCACTGACTATTATAAATTAATCAACAGGGAATCCATCACCATGAAGATTGCCATTCTATGCCTGTGTCTTTTGACCATCGCCTTTGCCTTGCCAGTAAGTACAATAGGCATACAGTATGATACAATACAGTGCATAAGCCAAGAACAACACACATTTCTGTAATGCAGTAGCAGTGAATACGGACTAACTGTTTATTCCCCACAACTTCCATTTTAAAGGTCAGTAAGTCAAGACATCATGATGAATCATGGAGTTTGGAAAGAAAACATGTAAGTATTTATTTTCCTTGCAGCTAGTCCTTTCTAGCACTGTGTGAATTAAATTAAAATTTCAGGATAAATTGCATGATTTCAGATTCTCTACCCCTATTATTGAAAGCTGAGCCAAGCTGGGCCTTTTTCATAAAATAGTTTCTTATGAAAAAGGCTTCTGCTTTAACTGATCTTTGGGGAAGGAAAACAAAGACAAGAGCAAGTGTAGGCTCTTTAAAGGAAGAAATCCACAGTGACATTGCTGTTGCTATACCCTGTCTCTCCTTGCACATGGGAGAGGATACTCTCTGTAGGATCAATATTGCCTTCTTCACAGAGCTGCTGCAGCCATTGTAAAAGGAGGCAATCTATGTAGGCAATGCAGTCTTCCCTTCCTTAGCAGTTACTCTGCCGTGTGAAAGGACAAAGGGAAATTGTCCCCCACCCCATGGGCACACACCCCAATATGTTGCTCTTTCTGCTCCCTAAAACCTTGCCATCCATTGCACACACAAAAAGAATCCCTATATTGCAAGAACTCATGAATTCCTTATCTTTTGTGCCCTACTTTAGAAGGGGCACACTTTTGGACCCCCAAATGTTTTGGACTATAACTCCCATAGTCCTTTACCATTGAACATGCTAATTGGACCTGATGGGAATTATAGAACAGAACATCTAGAAAGCCCGATATTCCCCCACTACTACACCACAGCAACAAAGCTGGTAGTCAAGCCTGTGTAACTAACAAAACAGCATTTTGTTAATCTGTTTGATCCAGCCTCCCTTCTCTTTCTCTGCTCTTTTCTTTGCCAGAGTGTGGAGCCTTGAGGCAGGGACCTCTATATTCTAAAACTCCATACACTTTGGTGGGCACTATATAAATAAGAATAATTACCATATGGCAATATTCATGTCCCAGAGGATGGTTTTCCTGTCTTTGTTTCTGAACTCGACACCCGTTGGTTCCACTGAATGATCCTACATTTAAAATTATGAGTGATTTCCCTGTCCCTCTATTCATTCTTTCCACACTGTTTATGATTCTGTAGGCTGTTACGTCCCTCCATAGTTATCTCCCCCATTCTATGTGCTAGTCAAGCTTTCTCTGATGTGAGAGGTCCATGCTGACTGCCAACACTTGTTCTTGTATTGTTGCAGGATTCCAGGGAGCACCGCCATCATGCTCACCCGCATCACCACCACCGCCATTCTCACAGCCATGAGGATGTGAACAGCCATGAATCACAAGAACAACAGGCATCCTCTCAGCTGGTATGACACCCTTCTTCACTGGACTATGTAGGTCAGATGCCCTCCATATAGGTCAGATTGAGGCTCCCGTCATCTCCACTGACAACGTTGGCTGGGGATGATAGGAACTGAAGTCTGACTCATTTGGAGGACAACTGGGTTGAATGTAAGTGATGCAAGGAATATGGCAGTCAGAAATTTTAGAGTGGGGAAAACTCCTTAGTCCTTTGGTTTGAACAGATTTATAATTTTCTGCAGACTTTTTGATTGAACCTATAGGTTTCTGTTTAGAGGCAGGCCCTGAACCACTTACAGTTCCTGTGAACACCCAGAAACCGAACTAAATAGACTGAATAATTTGCACTGACCCATCCCAAAAAGAAAGATGGATAAGACTGGGCAGGAAATCTTACTGATATCAATAGGAAACACTGTTATGACTATCAGTCCATTTGAGTTCAGATGTTACATTTGTTGAAACTCTCCCATCTGCACAACTTTTAAACACATAGGAACCCAATCTTTTTTTGCATCTGACCTAATTTTAGCCCAGTTTGGGTTTCATGTTAGTGTCTCGATTTAATGCCTGGCTTTTATTCTGAGCCATTTTTGTTTGGCTGGTTTTCTATTAATTAACCAACCAGAAATCATTCCCCTGTCCCTCCTTCCTAGACATCTTCTGTTCCCAGAACCCTACCAATCACTTGCCTTGACCTAACATAAAAGAAACCATGATGGATGAGAATGGAGCTTTTAACAGTTGCTTTTTCAGTCTATATCTCTCAAAATCTCCCAACTGGCATGGCCACTAGTTTAGGAATTCTGGGGGAGGAGGGATTATAGTCTTTAAAAAGTAATCTTCCAGGTTTTGGATCAGAGATCAGGGATGTCATTATTTAGAATTCACTAAAACAATTGATTATGTAAAAAAACAAGTCTTTACAAAATTGCTATTTTGTTTTTAGACCTCTCTGTCTTCTGAAGAAAGTGATGAGATCACAGAGCAACAGGTAATTTTTTTCTATTATATCACCTAAGTTACTTAGTATTCCTAGCATTAGCACTGCTACTATATATACTGTACAATATCATTTTATTCATATATCTATGAATATATATCATATACCAGGGAAACTTGATCATATCTCTCCCGTCCACTGGCTGACCATTATTTCCTACAATACTCAGGCTCCAAGAATGCGCATAGTTAGCAGGGTTCCCATATGTTGAACAGGAAAGGGCCAACTCACCTTTAATAGTTGTGTGAGAGGTGGATTTCAGTGGATATAGTTTCCATGACAGGAGCCCTGTTGACATATGGCAACCATGATCAACATCTTCATAGTGTTGACCAGTGATGAACTGAATACACTCAATGGCCAGCACCCTGTTAATAATACTTTTGTTCTTGTGTGCCTCAAAGTCACTTCTGACTTATGATGACCCTAAGGTTAATTTATCATGGGGTTTTCTTGGCAGAATTCATTCAAAGTGCGTTTGCTTCTGCCTTCTTCTGAGGCTGAGAGTGTGTGATTTGTCAAAGGTAACCCAGTGGATTTGAACCCTGGTCTCTCAGTGTCCTAGTCCAACACCCAAACCACTACATTACACTGAAAAGGTACCAGTCTCATCCACGATTTGAACCCAGGACCTCTTTTACCCAAAATAGGAATCATACCCCTAGACTGACAAGCCAGCTAATAACATACACAACAAGTCAGCTAGCAACATATGAAACCATAAATGCACTTAATGCCTGTGTATGTCCTTTTTTTTTTAGTTGTTGTGGAGATTGATATTCTCTTCTACCCTCACTGTGATAGCTGTCATAGCCTTCCTGAACCTCCTGAATATAGTCCTACTGAATTTCAATAACTGATGGAGAATATAGGAGAAGTGCCTTGCTATGTTGCAATAACTAGACACAGAATGATTACATCATCCACTCTGGATCCCAGGAGTTCAGCAAAAATGTCATTGGTCCATGTCTGAATATGGGGCACATCCAGACACTCCTCCAGTTTTCCTATACACACTCTCCACCAGCCACAGAATGGCTGTTCAGGGGTGCTATTGCAGGAAAACCATGAGTCATGGGTGGTGGTGAGCTGGGATCCATAATGATGCTTTGTCTGCAGAACTCTTATGCTACTCTGAACAATGTAGTGTTGTCTTCATTTACTTCCCATGTTCTAGCCATGAGATGTGGCATGGAAGATAGGCTGCTGGGATCCATACCCCAAATCTGTTTCTATGGTGTAGACATGGAATATTCATTCAGCCCTATTGTAATACTGCCCTGTTGTAATATTGGGTTACTTCTAATCTCTTGCAGACCCTGTTGGTATCTTCCAGTAAAAGCAAGGAAGATGATCACGATCACAGTGATGTGGACGATGATGATGATGATGACAACCACACCGATTCTGATGAATCAGATGAATCTCATGAAGCTGTTACAGATTTCCCTACTGATGCACCTTTTACCCTACCTGTCTCTCCAGATACCTTTACAGGTAGAGGAGACAGTGCACCTTACGGAGTAAAGGCCAGAGTTGACCTGGTGCATTTTGAGAAGTCCAAGAAAGCATACAGAAAGTCTGGAAAGGTAAATGGAGCTCATTTGTTTATGCTTCTTAGCCACATTGACAGAGGCATAGAGCACTGAGTGCACAATGAAGCATTCCCCAAAAATTGGGAGCAGGAGGTTTTATTAAGTATTCCAAAAACAACAATCCATCTACCATGATACAGTTTAGATACATTGCATTTTTTTTCTTGGAGAATTCTTTCTCCATGTTAACAATGGTTTAATTCCCATTGGCAACAATGCTGTGGTATGTTGTCATTATCTGTTGCTATTCTTGGCCAACTCCTGTTGATTTTCATTCCTAGCCAGTAGTCTTTTACACAAACCAGTCAGTCATGACAGGCATAAGATGAAGCAGATGCTACATTTTTAAAACAAAAACAAAAAACCTCTGTCTTCACAGCTTCTGAATGCCAAATATTATGAAATTTATGTATTTGAACAGTCTCACTTGTGGTTGCTGTGTAGATGCCAAATAAAACAGGCCACTGGGATATTACAAAAGGTTTTGGAGGAAAATAACTCCCTTTGAAGAAATTCCTTAGTTTAAAATGTCAACAAAAACAGCTACACAGATATTGCAAAAGTCTTAGAAATTCCAGGGGGGGGAAGGGGGGTCTGGCCTTCTCAGAGAATTAACAGGCACATGTTTTGTGTTTCATTTTTGAACAAGCAAATTCCACAAAGGAGACTTTTCTTTTTCAGATTCCCCAGGATAAATTTAGATTAAAAGTAAAGTAAGAGGTCAATGGCATTTTTTTTGACCTGATCCAACCATTTTAACACAAAAAAATTATTGTTCTTATGTGGGAAATTACATAGGCAAAACTGAACACCAGATTACCATTGGCAGAATGACATATTCTGTAGAAGTAGGTGGGAATTCTTCTTTCCTCCCCACTGCAGCCCCTGTGCATTCCCCCAAGAGATGAATGCCCTCCAAAGTGGTTTTCTGGTGTCACAGAGAGCTACAGGGAGAAGGAAAGAGAGAAACATGCCATGGCAATCACCAGCAGAACACTGGATTTAGCAAAAATGTTTCTCTGTTATATACTGTCCTCTGTTAACATCTTCCCCCCAAGATGTTCAGACACTATAGTTTGTTATGGATATGAATTATGTTTGCAGCCCATCAGATCATGTTAGACTGCAACTTCTATCAGTCATAACCAGCATAGGGATAATGGAATTGTGTGTTGTGATTTGCTTGATATTTGATCTTTTAATTTTTTTTCCCTCTATGTGGTAATTTGTTTATCTATTTATTTTATTTTATTTCTTAGAGTGTACGCCGTGGGCAGGCTTTTTTATATTTCTAACTTTTTTACTTTGTACAGCGCTGTGTATAATTACAGCGCTCTAGAAATAAAGTTTAATAATAATAATAATAATAATAATAATAATAATAATAATAATTGCAGTCCAACAACATCAGAAGGGCCACATGTTTCCCCAAACTGGATTTATTGATAACTATTGCTTGTTTGAACTCTGTTTTTATTTTCCAAATATCATGTTCATCCTTTATATTAATTTATTATATTCTTCCTTTGTAATGTATTACATTCTTCAACTGGTTTGGGGTAATTTTTTTTAAAAAAAATGAAGTATTGCTAATAAACTGAGATGAACTGCTAAAAATTCTCTGTTGAAGAGTTGTACATGTGGTATCCCCCTCTTAACTCTCCCTGAAGAATGGGAATAACAGTCAATTTGCTTTGCACTAGTGCTATAGCTATTCCTCTGGGTTGATCATTGAATTGTCTTCCTTTCAGTTTGACTCCCATGATGTTACCGACGAAATTGACAGCTCGCCAGATGTGGAGAGCCATGAATCCTACTCTTCCAAGGACCATTCTCTGGAGAGTCATGACACAAGCATAGAAAGAGATGATGCAAGCCACCTGAGAGACAGCAATGAGGTCCTCAAGGCATCCCACGTTAAAACCTTGGAGAACAACAGCCAACAGAAATTTGAGAGTGACGAATATGATCACGATGATGGTGACCACGATAACAGCAAGTTGGCCATTTCCCTGGGAAGCCATGAGAGCAGAGAGCAGCTGAAAGACCACAGTGAGGAACTCAAACAGGTAGACCATGACGTTGATGATGTCAGCAACCAAACTTTGGAAAGCACTGAGGTTCACCACAGCATTGAGGATCAGCACAGCACTGAGTCTAAGCACAGTGTTGAAGATCATCATAGCATTGAGGATCACCCCAGCACTGAGGATCACCACAGTGTTGAAGATCATCACAGCATTGAGGACAATGAGGTTACCCTGTAGATGAGAGGAAAGCAGGCCCCACACCAACTTAAGAGCACTCCCTGGATTTTCGCATGAATGGGTGCAGCTATGATTGAAGCCTAAATCCATCATGGATGGGGCTTTCATTTTTAATTTTTGTTTAGCTGAGTTAGAGGAGAGGGAGAGGATGGGAGGGAGAAATTGCAATGCAACTGTTACTTGAATGTTTCCTCCCAATTATATATCACACGTCAGATTATGAGCTGTATCAATTATCGGCAGCATTTTGTTAAGCAGGCAAACATAAAACCTGATCTTGTGCATGACTACTTGGAAGTAAGTCTCAGTGATTTCATAGAGACTCACTACTAAGGAAGCATGCTTCGGATTTTAGTCTTAATTGTACAGTACTAGCAGTTCTGCCCAGTAGAGAATTGTTAGCCCTTTTTGCTGCATATTTCCCTACTCTGTTATAAGGAAAAGAAAGAGTGAGAGAGAAGTTAGGGGGAGAAAAAAAATCTAGTTTTACACTCAGAGTGAATGTTATGTGTCCTAAAATACTGTACTTCTAAAAAGTTTAATGTTGCAATGTATATTTTGTTGATAATTGTGAATTAAATAAAAATACAAAATCTTATTTGGGGGTTTGTTGTGGTTCTTATCTGTACATGTATGCCAAGAAGTCAATGGGCCTTTGCAGACTGCCAGAAATAGTGCACATTAAATTGAGGCACTGCCCTGGCTCAGTAATAATCCTAAACTGACATCAACCTAAATTAACATCTTCTGTTAGCTCAGCTGTATAGCATGCCTCCTAGTGGCTAAAAATATATTTTTCCTATAAAATACAATAAAATACAAAATACACAGAAAAGTTGGGCGAACAGAAAAGCATAAAATGAATCATGTAAGCTTTCAAAGCTATTCTAGCTTCTTCAGCATGAAAAGACATGAAAAATCATACAGGAGAAGAAAAGTGATGATGTTAGAGTCACAAGGCTACATTTTATCTCAGATGTTATTTCTGTTATCGTTTAATATGATCTGGAGGGATATCAATGCAGGGAGAGACCACTCCTTTCTCAGCCACATGGGAACTGGGGACAAAGGGCAGTAGAAGCCAGATAGTACAATTTCAGCTCCATGATCAGCTGCAAAGTAATTTCCCTAGACCTCCAGACTGTCTCTGTCCTGTGTGAGGCAGTAGACCTCCATAACAATTAACGAACTGAAGAATAATCTCTGACATCGATTCTGTATGCTTCCATTCTACAGTTGGCCCTCTGTATCTATGGATTCTTTATCCACAGATTCAACCATTCACAGCTTGATCAAGTAAACCTTGATTTTGCCTTTTTACATAAGGGGTAACATTTTACTATATCACAGTATATAATGGGACTTGAACATCCATTAATTTGGTATCCAATGGGGGTCCTGGAACCAAACCCAAACAGATACCTAGGGCCCCCTGACCCATTTTTTATTAAGTGATTCTCTGCTGGGGGGGGAACAAACACTATTTGACAGTGAAGCTGCCATTACAAATTGAGAAATGGAAGGTGTACAGATCACTTGTTACCAAAAGCTTTATGTTCTTACTATACAGCTGCATGCTATGCATTTCACACTGAATCAAAGAGAGACAGGCCTTTAGAACCATCTTCTATAAATGGGTTTGTTGATCACCTGTTATCTTCCCAGTCATCTTGGGGTAAATTAATAGCATGTCCTGTGTTAGGTTCTAAAGAGGATAATAAATGAGAGGTGCTGCTGTTCTAATTTTCTTTTCCATGCTGCCTGGAGAAAGAAGAAAGTCCAAAGTGAAATGAGAAGGAGATCCTTTGTCAGGG